TTTAATATAATCATTGATTACAAATCTAAATATACATGTGCGTTCCAGTAGTATAATTAAGGCCAGTTTACTATAACCACTACAACTTGACAACTCCCATTAAATTCACTGTGTTGATCAATAGCTACAATTGACTGGTTGGTCTCAGGTTCATTACAACGGCAGAGAGATTCAATAATAATTTATTGTTTATTGGTCTCAAAATGTATCCGCACTCGTAATAGCTATTAACATACCAAGGTATGTTATGCTTATGACTATCATAACAGCCGCAGATGTCAGGTTAAAATCCGAGCGTAGCGAGGATTTTAAGATATCTAAGGCTGTTATGATTGCCATAACATCAGCGGTTTGTTCAATAGTTTATCGGTTGCAGGCGCACAATTCCCTACTTTTAGACAATTTCGTAAATTTGATAACCAAACAATTTTATCGTAATCATCAAAGTTGCCGTACATGTCTGTTGCTATGTTAAAATTTGGTTGTTATGGTTGCGAGTGTTGCTAATCAACAGAACCTATTTTTACATTTGGTTAATTAGAAAATGAGTAGGTAGATATACAGGGTGTCCCTAAAAGGTCTGTACAACGCTCTACCAGGGTTTCTTGGTATCAAAATAGGACGATTTAACCCAACTTACCTCTATCCAAAAGTGCCTCGGTAAGGCGCTATCTACCGCCAAAGATTAAAAAAAAAATCGATATTTTTATTTTATCGGAAAATGGTTTTGCCGATTAAAATGAAATTCGGGATGTGAATGTCTAATGTAAAAAGGGTTTTTGTGATATCATCGTTTTGATCGTAGTTGCTATGTAGGTGGTAAAATACTGACCATACACATCTGAAGAGGTCTAAAACTTTTTAACTACTATTTTGACGGTTCTGAATTTTTAGACACTGATAGACAGTTTACTTGCAAGCATTTTTTGTCTCTAGATGAATATCGCTATCTGTGATGGTTTACGAAAAAAAAAATTTAGGCATGATGAATGGCATGCACCATACATGCTAATAGTCCCATAGCCCCCCCCCCCTAAATCCGGCACTGAATTCAATGATCCACCACAATCAACATCTTCATTGTCATTAATTATGACTCGTTTTCTCATCTGTGGTTCGTTGAAGGCGTATCGTAAATGATTACTGTTTCTTCTTACGATGTTGCCTCTATCATTTTGTACCAAATACGATCGTGGGGCTACATGTTTGTCGATAATCTTTCCTGGTTTCCATTGGGCGCGTTCGTAAGACTCAACGGTTACTGGTTCGCTGCTTTGTCGCCAACCGGGAACGGTTGTGGGTTTTATGACACGACCGCTACTTTGTATGGGATTAAACATGCGCTGTATTGATTCGTTATTTCGTGGTTACCATTTTGAAAATATAAACAAACGCTAAACAAGGCGTGTTGGCGGTGTGTTGCACATGTTTTCTGCGAGAGGACAATTATAGCTGTTTTTTAGCGAGCGATTGGTTTGAAACAGTAATTCGAACCGATTTCACTGTGACGTCATTGGTTTAAGTGATCGCTAAAATGGATGTTTTTAAACCATTTTAAATGTAAACATAACCTATATTTCCACACATAAGTGAAATGATCAAAATCAACTTTTACATTACATTACTGAATTCGAGACCGAATCAATGATGTTGCTATTAAGGGTAATACAACATTCAAACGATAATAATGACCATTCATTTATTTCTGCATTATTAATGCTACAAAATGAACAGCATTTGAGAATTAAAGGATTTTACGAGGGACTGGATGTGTATTTGGATTCGGATTTTTTTAATTTATTCCGTATGAGTAAAATCGCATTTAACAACCTTTTTGAAAAAGTAAATTGTATGGAGTTAAACAAGCCCTACACTGGAGGAGAACATCAAATTCCTGCTCGGAAACAGCTCTTGTTAACAATTTGGTGGTTAGGCAAGGGAGAGACCTTAATTTCTGTGGCAGACAGATTTGATGTCAGTTTGAGCACAGTATATCATTGCACAAATTTTTTACTTTCAAAGTTACTATCTTTACAATCAAGATATATTACATGGCCTGATCTTGCAGAAGTGTCGAGAGTTGAACTAGATTTTCGTGAGCGATGTGGATTTCCAGGTAAATTCCTTAGAAAATATGCTCTGTCATAATAAAATAATGTTACAGGAGTTGTTGGAGCGATAGATGTTTGCAATATATGTTTTAAACCGCCCGTGGAACACCAAGAAAGCTACATAGATCGCAAAATGCAGCACTCTATTAAACTTCAAGCGATTGTAACATCACAAAAAACATTTACTAATGTAAAAAGAATACACCTATAATTCACTCAACGGTAGTAGTATTTATTTATTACTCTTTGCTACGCATTTGTTTGTCTAAAATTGCAGTTTCAATATAGCGCCCTCTAGTAATAGCTAAATAAAACAAACAATCGAATTGCCACCTGTCATTTTTAGTACGGAAACAGAACACTATCGTAATAGTCTGTACTGTAGTGTACTTTATAGAACAGATACCTTAGTAAATTGTTGTATAAAATGTTAAGATGTCGCTGTGGTGTTTTGGTGAAGCGTCGGCTTTACCTCGTAATGTTTTTCCAATCACAATGCTAAATGCAGCTTTTAATTTTTAAAAAAATAGTTGTGTGTATATAGTGATATTTAAATGGTCATATTATTTAACAAGCTTCTTTTTTAACTGCATCGCGTGAATTTTTTAGTTTGATACAAAATTTAACCTTCAATTTTATTCGTATCATCAACCTCTGTGGGTACATTGGGACAAGGCGTGTATTAAATCTTACATTCATCACTTGGAAAGATAGAAGTGAACTTTTTTATACATTTATTTGGTGTAATTTATCTCCAGGTTTGTGTGTAAAACATAAACCATGAGTAACGCTATTTATGTTGCTAAAAGTGAAACAGTGCCCAGTATACCGAATGTATGCAGATTATGCAGTGCTGAAGACGAAGAGAATCTTATTGATCTTTTCAATCCGCAAACTCCAGTGCTTAATTTCTTCCGAAGCGTAATTCTGTACGGAACTGGTCTCGAGGTAAATATTTTTAGTTTGTAGCTTGTAATTAACTGCATATCCATAAGTATTTCAAAATTGTAGAGTCTGATGTGTAAATTGTGGATATCGGTGCATATGTTCACTTTCTTCCCATTATTTCATTTTACCAATACGTGAAGAGATTAATGAAATTGGATTGGTAAGATTGTCAGTGTTATAAACAAATGAAGAATCATTGCATTAATGTTGATCGAACTTTAGCCAACTGGTCGGTACTGACGTTATGCAGAGAAATGTTGCATAAAGAGTATAGCAACAATTTGAAGCATCTAGACAACTAACCATACACTAAGGTATTACACATGTACTTGGTGACACAAGGTGACGAATTTCAATCTGTTCAGTTTCGTTTCCTTTCTTTCCATCCGGTGTATTTGGCTAAAACATGGCGAATCTCCTAACTACCCATAGAAAATAACACCACCGTATGACCGCACTGTCTCTATAGAGTCGCTGTAGGTTCACTGATAACAGATGAATCAAATGTAATCAATGGGCATGTTGTGTTCACGACAACTTTGTTCACTTTGTCCCTCGCTTTGTCCCCATCACTGTTTCCGTTAATTAGCAGTATATCTCATGTGACATCAAATAAAAGCTTTTGAAAAATCGCATTTAATTTGTGTAAATAAATGACGTTTAGGTCGGTCTAGATGTACTGATATGAAGGCACAAGACAAAATTGTAATTATTAAGTCGGAAAATAACTAAAGTAAGAGACGATAAAAAAAATCGTGTGAAAATACATTTAAATTTTATGATATTATTATTTATATTTATTATATTAAGGTAAATGCACCAATAATGGGTCGCATAAGGACGTTAACTCATATTTCTCTTGAAGTAGGACAATGACAATGACGGCAAGCCGGATTCTACTACTATCAACTTTTGTCTACAATAATCAATGGATGTAACGTTAACATGCACCTTCTAAAGTACCATTAGATAATTCCAAACATTCTCGGGAGCATGTACCAATAATGAACACCCCTCATATGTGTAGATCTAATAATGGACCCCCCAAAATTGAGCCAACATTGGAATGACTTTATATACTGTTTAAACCTGGATTTAGACAAGAAATGTTACGAACTCATGAGAATATTAAATTAGTATTTTAATAAATGGTAGATTTTACAAAAAACACAGTCATGAAAAAAGTATTATAATACAAAAAAAATATAAAATATTACATTTCATTGACGGCAACTTTTTTTTTGAAAACATACGTCAACCTTCTATCAACCATTGCAACTTCGGGTTGGCTGACTACACCTAGGACTTGATTAATGGAAATGAAAGAAATGTCATTCTCAACTATAACAAATTTCATTTTTTCTGTATCTACTGATTTTAGTCCTTGTACTTTAATCCCTTCAGTACCTACCACGAGGGGTTGATCACTCCAAAAACATAGGTTCCACTTGTGCAATATTGCACACATTGCACGATTATTGCAGACATTGCACGATTATTGCACACATTGCGCGATTATTGCACACATTGCACGATTATTGCACACATTGCACGATTATTGCACAATTGCACCATTATTGCACACATTTCACAAACATTGCGCCCATTGCACAAATATTGCACACGTTGCACCACTATTGCGCGTATTACACAATTATAATTGACTGCTTAAGCGTAACTATGTATTGTGGTGCTATTACAATATTGCAGACATTTCACGTAATCCGGGTACCTACATTACGTGTTTTATCTTCCTTTAAGTTGCATGTCTTAGGACCATTTTCATAATTACGCTAAAGTCTCCTTTAGCTAAAGTCGACTTTAAGGCAAATTAATGTTCTTTCTGAAGATAAACATATTCATAACTATATTCAACTACTCCCTAACTAATGTCCCTGTGGACCTTAAAAATTAAAATATGGTTAAAGTTCTCGTTAAAAGCTATCAAGCAATGTTTTAAAGCACCATGGCATGGCCGCAAAAACGAAATTTAAACAAGAAAACCACCTTTTCGTAATATTTACGAATATACATATATACATTTATTTTGTCGATTTTAGCAAACACTATATTTTGACAAATCCTCAGAAAACGTGTGCCGCATTCGAGTGTCAATACACGGTTCACTTAATTTTAAAACAATGTCTTGGTTTGAAACATCCGCCACATCGTCAGTTGCAGGGAACGTAAAAAAATTTCCGTGTCTTCTAAAAAATTTCACTTCATATACTTCCTCATTACGATTATCGGAATCATTTAGTCGTTTACTTAACACTAAGCCAATGTAATGTTTGTGGCTTTTCTTTGTTGCAAACTGAACTAAAACATAGTTTCCAATTGGAAGTGTTTCCAATTGAAAGTGTAGGCTCGATTGTATCCGTCTCAGGCGATGTTATAAAAATCAAATTTTTCTAGACCTAATGCTTATATAAAATTTTGGAGGGAGTTGTAATGCCCCCCCCCCCTCTCATGAGTGCGTCCCTGATTTTTTTAAACATCTGATGTAATTATTTTCATTGTTTTGTTGCCTCGAATAGATTTTGTTTTGTTTTTTTTAAATCATCACAGCCTACTTAATTAAAATATAAAAACCGTTGATATAACTGGTATCTTATTTTCAATCTTATGTTATGATGGCTCGTTGAAAAGAGAATTAAAAAATCTATCAGTAATCTAAAAATCCCATATGGCGCCTATTTAACTTTAGGAAGTTGTTAAATGTTCCTCAAAAGTAGCCATCTTGAATTTTTTTTGACCTCAATTCTAAATTAAGCATATCAAAGACAGTCACTTTTATATAAAACTTTTTTTTATATCTCTTATACTTTCGATGATATAAGACATTCAAGGAAATGACCAATGTTAGTTTTTTTGAATTTACGTCGAACCCTCGGTCGAACCTATGCGACATTTTGAATTTCCAAAAGGAAATTTTAAATAAGCATCTAAAACTGCAAAACATTGCCCATTTAACCAATTCTCTATCCTTAATAATAACAAAGTTACCCATGCAATCCCACCCGATCTGGGACACACTGTATACCGCGATCTATAACACTTCGCACTCAACACCGCACAGCGCAGTTATAAATATTACTCACTCGAAAGACAAAAACCATCGTTGCATTTGTTTCATACTTCGTTTTATACCGGTTAGGTTCCTAATTGTGGGCGCCGAGGCGGCTGCATATTGCGCCTACTCCGAGAAGTAAAGCTCATATTGTATTTTACGAGGTATTATTATACGTATTGCACAAATATTGCACGCATTGCACAAATATTGCACGCATTGCACAAATATTGCACACATTGCACAAGTATTGCACGCATTGCATAAACATTGCACACATTGCACAAATATTGCACGCATTGCACACATTGCACAAACATTGCATTACTACCCGCCCACCTATTGCACACAGTGATTAACCCCTCGACCTACCATGTTCTTGAACTATACACAAATACGTGTATTTTGTAGACTTTCTGTTACCACCCATGAATTCTACCCAAACGTAGTTCCCTGTTTTAACTTCCTTCGTTTGTACGGCAGGTTCTGTCTTCACTTCCATCAGTTTCTACATCCCATGGTGAATCGGATGACTCCTGTAGTGGTGGTTCCAAATCACTAGCAGATGATTCTGATTCATCGTGTAATCCTTTTTTCTTTTTTTCTGCTGCAATCCTTTTTTTTTCTTCTGTGGTTCTTTTCTTTTCTTCTCGTTTCATTTTTCTTTCTTCTTTTTCTTCTTCTTTTTTTTGCTTTAATTCCTCTTTCTTCTTATAGTAAGTGAGCATACTTGGAGACGTACACACAACGGGAATTTTTTCCTTCGCTCTCTTTTTTGGGCCAGCTGTTTGAACCGGCCATAAAAACGCCCTTTTAAATGGTGACGGCGAGGGTGACGGAATCATAGGCAAGTCTGACCTAGATTCTGCTGCTCCCGAGGCTGCCACCGTATTTGACAACTCGCCCGTATCAACATCTGTTGGTGTTTTTGGGGCTGCATATGACGTTCCCGGTTGTTGTGTTACTGGTGTAACATCAAGAATAACATTTTGTGGAGTTGAGGCTAAAGATTCTGAAGGAGTGCTAACCGTTGGTTGTTTTGCGTCCACAAATGCCACCTTTTGATCATAAAAAATGCTAATAAAGTTAATACTATTTATTGAAGCACCTACCTGCACCTCCAAATCTAATTGGTTTGTAGTTTTTTTCCATATAGCATATAAATCACTATCTTCTACTGACCCTGTCCACTCACCCTGACATGTTTTAAACTTGTTCAATTTTACTTCACCTATTTCATGTTGAAACATTCTTAAAAAAATTTCCAAGTCTTTATTTTTAGTTGATCTGTCAGTTTTGCTCACATCAGGTTCGGTACTTCCCTTTTGAATCTTAACCTTTTTGGGATCCCATGGCATAAGACCACATGCTTTAAATCCATTGCTGATTGTCTTATCTGACAATTCATCTAGAACGGACTTCAGCACAGGAGCGAAATCATGCTTGAGAATTTGTTTCCCATCATTGGCCATTCTCCATTCCGATACTTTTTGCTTCCAAGTTGCTTTTAATGTATGGAATACGGCCACGTCCATTGGTTGTAAAAGGTGAGTTGCATTCGGAAAAAGTGCCACTAGTTCTATTTCATGCTTTAAACAAAAATTAGTCAATGGTAGAGACATGTGACGTGTGACCATCCATGAAAAAAACGACTGGTCTGGCTATATTGTTCAATGTTAACCACGGTTCGAATATATTCGCCATATATTCGTAAAACGTTTCTTGCGTCATCCAGCCATTTTCTGACCTTCCCATTGCCCATCCAGGTGGTACCGAATGAGCTATGTTGGCGGGAATTCTTGCGTACCTGTAAAGTTTCCACTATTGGCAAATGCAAGTGCTTAGAAGGACTGTGAATATGAATCAAAAAAGAATAATAAATAGGTACCGTAAGACGGGGCTACTTTGGACAGTTTTTGAGGTTTTTTCT